TTTATTTCCCCCCCCCCCCCCCCCCCCCCTTTTTCCCCCCCCCCCCACACAACCCTTTTTTTTTTTTTTTTTTTTTCTCTTAACTGCTCTCATTGGATCACCATTCTTCCCCTCCCGCATCCTCTCTCTCTCCCCTTTTTCCTCCCCGGGTCTCTGGCTCCTCCGTCTGTCTCTTCCCCATCTCCGCCTTTGCTCCCCTCCTCCATCAGTGCCTGCAGCTCACTATCTAGGTCTATTGACATCAGTGGGAGTTTGTGTGTGATTGCTATAGAGCTGTCAGCGGCTGATCCACTCCTCCTAGGGCAATGCTAATGCCACATTAAGAATAACTTCCCTAACTTTTCTTATGAATATGAATAATGCCGTCTCCTTGTGGACATTTTTGATGAGTTACTCCACAGTGGTTTAAGCTCATTGATGTTTGAGTTTCTATAGTTTTACTAAAGGGGCTGGGAGAGGATGCCGCAGTCACCAAAGACTGATTTGACTGCATAAATACAAAAGTGTTAGGGTTTTTTTTTTTTTTTTGCCTCTGTCTTCTCTGTGTATATTAATTAGTTTTGTGAACAGTATATCTTCAATATCAATGTTATTATTTAAGTTAATACTATGTAGAACCGCTACTAGTCACAAGGTTTTGTTGGACATCTGTTAGCAACAACTATATTGTGAAAGTGCCTCAACGAAAGCCAATCGTGTTCTTTGTCTGATTGGCTGTAATTCAGCCAGCGTGTTTCAGTCGGCGGCAAACGGCGAGCAGCTCTTACCCTCGTAGTGTAGGCGGCCTCGGGGTCGTCCTCCAGAACTCGGCTCAGGCCGAAGTCGGACACCTTGCACACCAGGTTGCTGTTGACCAGGATGTTTCGAGCCGCCAGGTCTCTGTGAACGTAGCTCATGTCTGACAGGTACTTCATACCCGAAGCGATGCCGCGCAGCATACCAACCAGCTGGATCACCGTGAACTGGCCGTCGTGTTTCTGAAGCAAAGCAGAAACAAACATGAAACGACGTGCGGAAGTCGAGTGTTTCTGCTGACACCGACCGGTAACGTGGCGGCGCACCGACAACGGCTCCAGCTGTAACTGGAGGGTTTATGCCAGGATTTGAGTTGCACTGGCAGCATCCCAGAATCCCCAGAGGTTCCAGAGCATGGCGTCGTATCGCGTTAGCTCCTGCTAACCCTGCGCTCTGACCTCAAACTGAGGGGCTAGTGGGGGGTGGGAAAAAAAAAAAGATGAATTTCTGCTTCCAAGGATCAAAGGGGGGGGGAGATCATGAGAACAAAAAAGTCCCACTTACAGAGGATTGAACCTGACAAAACTTTCCTCTTTAGCACTAAGCTTGTGTCGGCCCAGCTCTGCTTGGATTTCAGGTTTTGAGCTGTGGTTGGCTAAGACTTTGCAGCCTGTTGATCGATGATGGTCCAGCTCACCTTCCTCTGCCAATTATTCCTGCCCTGGGCCAACGATCTCTGTTAAAGAGCCATTCATGTTATCAGTCATCCCCTCTCCTTCATATCATTTCTCCTTCTTCTGTCCCTTTGTAATCTCCATCCATCTCCTTCTCGTCCCGCTTCTCTGTCGCAGACAGGGGGAAGAACTCGGCTGCACTTTGATTCAGCCTCCGTCTATCTGTCTCCGTTCATCTTTCTGTGTCCATGCACCCCTCCCCTCCCCGCCTGTCTTCTGTCTTTTTCTTTCTCCCGTCCCTCGGCAGCTGCGGAGTAAGTTAATTAGCCGGTGGTTTTGTGAGATGCTGATTGATTGGACTGTCTAACAAACCTACAGACTTCCTCTATCAATCTGCCCACTGCACTGTACTGCCAGAAAGGAGGAGGCATGGCAGGAAAGGAAGGAGAAAGATAGGTTAGATGGCAAGAAGCATCTTTTTTTAATTCAAATTAATAAAATGCATATCTAAAAATAAAATCACTTCATGTGATGATAGATTGTGTTGGACCAAGAAGAGGGAAGCTGGTTTTGTTACTTCAGAGGGATTTCTGCTTAATAAATGTTCATAATTAAAGACAACTGTAAAGATACCACAGCTGAGCTGTTAAAACCATAAAAAGCCAGGCTCTGCAGGCACTTTATGACCTTCCTTTCAACACGTAGCATTGTACAACTCCCCCCGACCCCCCAAAAAAAACAAAAAAACATGTATGTGGCATCTTTTTATTGCGTGTGAGTGAGCAGGGACGGTTGGGAACAATATTCTTGAGTCGTTTTGCATCTTGTCACTTCACTGTGCTTCAGTGCTGCAGATGGGATCTGCGCCTACTTAGAAACGGGCCCATCATCACAGCCTTAATGGCTCAGCAGCAGTGCAGTGATTTTACTGGCTGACAAACAAGGCTGAATATGAATCAGGGGAATGTCGAACATGAGGCGCACCAGGAACCGTGTGCCATCTATCTGGGCCGATGCAAAGACGCGTTTCAAGGTTCCCCAGTTAAATCAGTGCAGCATCTTTGATGATCATAGCTGAAAACATATTTTGAATTTTCAAACACTGCAGAGAGCTGGACATATTTATTGGCACCCCTAATAACAATGCATAAAAAGCCTGAAAGTAAATTGATTTTTTCTTTTTTTTTTAATTACAGCTGCATCTTCTCATACTCATAAGAGTCCAACCTTTAATTTGAGTACATTTATTCAGTGAGTGGGAAGAAATAAAAGTTATTAAATCACCTGGAGCATAATAATTGGCATCACTGCATTAAAAGTTAGCAATTCTTGTTTTTTATTTATCCTTTGCTTTTTAAGTTAAGAGTTTGACATTTTATGGTTTCTGGAGACTTCTTTTAGCATAATTAGGTCTGCTGTCAGGTTAAACTTACTTGGAAAGCCTGATCTAAGCATGTGGTAGCTGTTTTAACATCCCTCCATTGTAAAGCATTTTTTTTTTTTTTTTGCAAATCTCTTACACGATTTGTAAGCGTCAACAATCTTCTTTCTGAAGGCTAGGATCTCAACGTGGTGTCTACTCTTACACATTCAGGAGCACACACAATTAAATATCTGAGGTTTAAACAGAGGAGACCTTGTTCAAAATATAGAGTAACACTGTTTCAGTCATATGCCCCCACATGTGAAACAATTGCATGTACATTTTAAGTGGGAACAAAAGTGGTGGTGCCTGATTTATTTTTATTTTATTTTTTTTTTCCATTTTAACACTTCAAGTCACATTCAATAATAGCCTGAAAAACTATCTCGGGGTAAAGAGTCGTGATGCTGCCATAAGAGAAAACGAAAGTGCGGCGCTCTGTCCTGCCGAGACAAGACTCACCTTCAGGAAAGTGTCCAGAGACCCATTTTCCATGAACTCTGTTATGATCATCACGGGCTTACCTAAAAGAGGCACAATATAGGGCGGTCGTTAATAAGCCACAGTTACAAGGGAGAAACGCACAAACTATAAAAAGACGGAAAAGAATCAGAGTCCACAGCTGTGACCATCCTCTCCCTTTTCGTCTCCGTGCCTCTCTCAGGGGGATAACGTGGTGTGTCGTCATCAGTCACACTGACAGCTTCTAATCAGCCCTCTCCATAAACGCCAGGAGATAATTAGAATAGACCAATCCACCACAATATATATGTGCATGTGTGTGTGTGTGCGTGTGTGTGTGTGGGAGCCTCCTGAGATCTCATGAATACTAATCAGCCTCGAGGGAAGAGGGGGGTGGGGGGGATTGGTGGGACTTGCGGTTTGATCGCTGTGCACCTGCACCAGTGTGTGTTTGTGTGCAACTTTGCGGGTGATGAAGGGGAGCCTGAGTGACAGACCCCGCACCCTATGATCCTCTGCTTGGCATCTGGTGAGGCTTACAAATGATTAACAAAGTACCTGCAATCACACGTATGCACACACACACACGCACACACACACACACCAAAAACAGCAGTTGTCCCTGGTTTACAGCTACCTCCACCCAGACCCCCACCCTCCCCGCAGTCAGGCATTGCCAATCACCAAACAAACACTCGGCGTGCAGCTACAAATGACGGAGCACGGCTTGTAAACACACAGGCTATGTCACCGATAATGAATAGTTCGCATTTCCCAAATCAGACCTCTATGATGCGAGGGGAAAAAATAAAAAATCCTGGGGGAGACAACCTAACATAAGGAGGAAGAAAGAAACGGGATGTCTAGACAGGGAGTGCTGCTGTAAATGGGTCTAAACTAAGACAAAGGATGAGCAGAGCTAAAAATAATTTGACAATAAATGGACCTAAAAAGATTTTTTTTTTGCGATGGAACCTCCAAATGGCATTTTTTAACGTTTGTGGCCAACCTTTGAACTCTGGTTTCTGTACAGCTCTAACATGCTGATACCTTTTTCAGTTAATTTCTTTAGATACTCTGTGAAACAGCAACATTATTTTTTTTTTCCAGCATTCTTGCTGTGAGAGGTCTCTATAATTATTTAGATTAGAAGTAGAGGGAGCACCACACTACGTGTCTGGGAGAGCAGGTTTTGAAAAGTGGGCTGGCACTCAGTTAAAAGATGAGATTGTTACAGTCAAGGTTCCTCCAGGGTTCTTGAGGTTTTAGGATCTTCTGGATATTTACACAATATGAGCCTTTAACTGGTGATATAGTAAAATGATCTTTTTATATTTTCCCCAACATGAAAGAAATCTCTCTGTAGCAAAGAAAACACATTTTAAAATACTTCTGTGGTTTATAAAACACTGAATGGCTGAGCACCGAAACACACTACAGACCTGCCATCGTCGCGTTAACCTTCCACACCTCTCAGCTCCTCCAGGTATAATCCACCCAGCATTCCCAGGATCAGAACCAAATATGGACAAGCAGCATCCAGTTTCCTGGAGAAACTTCCAGAAAACTGCAAAACAGCTGAAACACCAAGTTCCTTTACATTGAGGCTAAAAGTCTACGTGTTTAGGAGTGCATCTGAAACATTGATTAATACAGTTGATGTGTATTTGATGATGTTTATTCCTGATGACTGTGATTTTTGTTGCTCGTTTCACAGCTGGTTATCGCGTCATGCTTGTTTTATATGTAATTTAAAGCACTTTGAACTTCCTTGTTGCTGAAATGTGCCATACAAATAAACATAACTAGACTTGACTCTCCAAACAGGAACGCTCTGATTTTCAGTGTGAAGTTCTGGGATATTTAACCACTGTGGTGACTTGGGACTGAAATAAATCTGCTTCATTTCAAAATCTACACCTCTTGGACTTGTAAGTAGTTTTAAATCAAGATTGGGGTGATCTAATTTAATGAAAAATAAATAAATACATAAAAATACTTGTGGAAGACAAGTGTGGAAAATCAAACATTTTCCATACTTTTTTTTTTTTCATTGTAATCCTGACATGGAGATTACATGTCAGTTCTTTTCTGCACTGCTAAGTATGAACATCAGCCACTTTGAGTGAATTCAGACCGTTTTCCCAACTTGGATATTACAAAATTCAATTGGGCTTCTTATGTCCACACAGTAAATGATAAATTGACTGAATTTGTATGGTGGTTTTTCTTCTCAAAAAGACCATTTAATTAAAGTGACTAATTAATCAAAGGTGCGTTAAAAACAGTCACACTTCTAAAATTCGCAAGACACAGGATGGAATCTGACTACGAATCACACGTGCATTTACGCTGTATGTCTTTGCTTTAATCAAAAGTGAAAGAAAGTTATGACGACTACATAAGTGAAAATGTAATAAAACGCTAAAACACACACAAAAAAGAGAAATTAAATATGTGGAAAGAAGGTGGCAGTCAAAACATATGAAGGAACAGATGAAAAAAAAAATAGAGAACAATGACAAAAAACAAGAAGTGTCAAGAAGGGAGAGAGGAGAGCAGACGGACTTGAGGGAGGAGGCCGGTCACACGCCTGTCACAGACGGGCAGCAACAACACCACCAAGGCCTACAGTAAGATTGTAGGTAAAGACAGCAATACATCACTTTAAATGAATTCACTATCTTACTGCAGAAAACAGACACACACACACGCCCCACACACACACACACAAACAGAGTCGCCTGGTCTCTAGTGGTGGTGTCTTCTTTGACAGTAACATTAGTCTCAGGGATAAAAGTGAAAGAGAATTGGATTTTCTTCTGCTGGGGGTGAGGACTGCTGGTCACATTTATCTCCACACAGAGCCTCTCTCTCTGTGTGTGCGTGTGTGTGTGTGTGTGTGTGTCTGTGTGTATACAGGAAAGAGAGAGAGCTGGTTTCAGGCCATGGCATGAGGGGACGGATGGTGCTATAATGACAGGCTGATTTGAGCTCTGTTTAGAGAGGGAGAACATTTGTGTGCTCGGTATGCAAATGCAGCTGTAGATGGGTCTAATGCTGGCTGAGAGGGCAGCCGACTCCTCGCTGCTTTTCCTGTCGGTGTGTGCAGGTTCGTGTCGGTGCTCGTTGGCGTTCGGTAAATGTGGATACATGTGTTTTGTATTGCATGCACATGTTAACGCCGTACAAAGTTAACACCCATGAAATGGGAAAAGGGACGATAAAACATACCTTAAAAACCAATTATGTGTGTGAGTGTGTGTTGGGGACCACACATGCAGGTGACGTTGGATATTGCCTTTGGGTTCGAGGCGTTGGATACGGTCAAGAGAGACGGACAATGAAACGCATTCATCCTGCTGTCTGGGCTTAGACAGCTACATGATTTGGGTGTGTTCTGACACACATGCTGTCTGTAGCGATAACAGCCTTAAAAGATAGAAGGAGCAGCAGATATCTGAGGGCTTACATTAGCTTGTTTTGTCTTTTCTGTGTGGTGACTGCAATGCTCTACAAAAAACTGAGATTTGGAAAGGGCCACACATTTCTGTTTAGTGGATTTCTAGTTGGGCTGCACAGTGGAGCTGTTGCCTTGCAGCAAGAAGGTTCTGGGTTCGATTCCCGGCCCAGGGTCTTTCTGCATGGAGTTTGCATGTTCTCCCTGTGCATGGTGGGTTCTCTCCAGGTACTCCAGATTCCTCTCACTGTTCAAAAACATGTCTGTCAAGTAAATTGGTTTCTCTAAATTCTCCCTAGGTGTGTGTGTGCATGGTTGTTTGTCTCTGTGTTGCCCTGCGACAGACTGGCTACCTGTCCAGGGCGTACCCCACCTCTCACCTGGAACGTTAGCTGGAGATAGGCACCAGCACCTCCTGACCCCTCTAGGGACAAGGGTGTACAGAAAATGGATGGATTTCTAGTTTTGATGTTTTACCTTTTAGCTTGATATGCAGTGGACAAGAAAGAAGCTTTCAGTGTGTCACAGTCCTTTATCATGAGGGTCGAGAAAAAGGCCGCCATCCTTTGATAATGGTCTAATCATGTAGGAGTGGCACCTATGTGTGAATGCGTATATCAGCCTGCAGACTAAGCACGCAGTCCAGTAAATTACATTATGAGAGGAGGTTTTGCTTCGCGTTGGTGTGAGTGTAAATGAAAGCGATAGAGTCTGTATACATCCAGACAATTACATTACGAGTAGATATCTGTGCGCGCGCCACTAGGCCACATTACTGCTTTATTGAATGAGGCGGCCCAAGGTACAAATGAGAAAATGAAATAACTTCTGCATTGATTAATGTTAAGGGCCTGGACTAAATGATACAAAGCTTTTAACACAGGGCAGATCTCTGTTCTGGGAAGTGCCATGTAAGGCTGTGGAGAACACGGACCGACAGAAACTCAATAACCTTATCTCCTCTCCTCTCTTCACCTCTCCTCCTACTTCTCTCCTCCTCTCATTTCCTCACGTTTGTCTCCTCAGCATCTCCTCTCTTTCCGTGCCACCGTCATTTAAGCTCAAGCCTCATCTTCTCTCAACTCCTCGCTCTCGTACCTTATCTCATCCATCCATGCCCCCCCGCCCCTCCACGTTCTTCCCGCCGTCCTGCACCCGTCGTCACCTTTTCCTCCGTCCCGTTTCCTGCCTGTGCTTCGCAATCTTCCAATCTCCACGTGTATTCAAAGCATGAATACTTTAAAACACTCTGACAGGAAACACTGAGACGCTTATTGTTCGGCGGACAAAGACGCGCGGTTAAATCCAATCACTAGTTTCTTCAAACAGAAGACGCCTGGAAAACACGACTTTGCCAGTTTTAATAGCACCTTTGTAGACCGGCCCTTTAATGACTGTGTGCATACGTGTGTGTGTGTGTGTGTGTGTCTGTGTCAGATGAGATTGAGTCCTGTAATTGAGGGTTTTCCAAATGAGCCGATTGTTGCAGTGATTGTACGACACATAAAGGACGGATGGATGAAATGAGGGACTGGGGAGATAAAGGGAAGATAAGAAGGGTGAGGGGAGTGGGGGTAGGGGAGGGGCAGGGATGAGCGGATG